GATGATGCTGGTGGGATGCTGGTGGGATACTGGTGGGATGCTGCTGGTAGGAGGCTGCTGGTGGGATGATGCTGGTAGAATGATGCTGGCGGGATACTGGTGGGATGGCACTGGTAGGAGGATGCTGGGATAATGCTGGTGGAGCAGTGCTGGTGGGATGGCACTGGTAGGAGGATGCTGGGATGATGCTGGTGGAGCAGTGCTGGTGGGGTGATACTAATGGGATGCTGCTGCTGCTGCGATGCTGCTGGGAACATGGGCGCCGCGTGGGCCCATCCGGCAGCACCCATGGGTGTTCCCCACACAGCAGGGGCCGAGAAGCCAAGCGAGGCAGAGAAACGAGACCCATCGCGTCCCCGTGCCCCTGCCCTGGCTCTCTCCAAGCCCAAGATGCTGGTGATCAGCGGCGGGGACGGATACGAGGATTTCCGCCTGACCAGCAGCAGCGAGACGGTGGGAAGGGACGACAGCACCAACCACCTCCTCCTCTGGAGAGCGTGAACAGCCACAGCCCCCCAGGGCCAGCCCGGCGGGGAAGGGGGGTGCTGGCCCCCCTGTATGCAGAGGATGGGGGTCCTGGACCCCCCTCCCTGCCACCCCCAGCCCCAGCGCCGCTCATCTCCAACCCGGCTGCTCTCTGTGTGCTCGGGGTTGGGGGGGGATGAGCCCCGGTGTCCCCACACTGTCCTGTCCCCCCCCCCAACCCGGCCACCACATGGGACTGGGGAGGGTGAGGGGTGGGGGGGGCTGTGGGACACAAACCGATTTGGGGGTGTGGAGAAGATGGGGAGGGGAATGGGGAAGGCGCTAGCGAAGGAGGAAGGCGTTAAGGAGCATCCCTGGGGACCGGCCGGAGGATGCTGTGTACAGCCAGGAGCCTGCCTTGCTCTCCGGTTGTGTGTGTGCCTGCTTTTGGGGGGGGGGGGGAGCAGGGGGTCACAGCCCTGTCCCACACACTCCCCCCTTCCCCTCTTTTCCCCTGGGACCCCCGGCCACGCCATGGGACCATCCCAGGGATGATGTGCCCGTGGTGTCCCCCTCGGCCCGGGCCTCCCGCTGACCCGCTCGCTCCATCGCAGCACCCAGATAGCTCTGTTTGTCTGTTTGTTTGTTTTAAATATATATATTATATATATAAACATCCTCGTTTATTGGGGGGGGGGGAATTGGGGGGGTCAAGGGCATTGTCATGGTGCTGCTGCTCCCTCTGCTTTGGAGATGGGGGGGTAAAACCTTCCTGGTGCATTGGACCGAGGTAGAGCTGGACCGCGCTGATGGAGCTGGGCCTTGCAGGGAGGGGAGGACTGATGGAGGGGGGGAATTGAGGGCTCTGTGATGCCCATGGGGCTTCGCAGCTTTGGGGCGGGATGAAGGCGCCGAAATGGATATGAGGACAAGGATCTTCTTCGCATCCCTGTGCCAGACAGCCGGGGTGCTCCCCTGCACCGCTAAATCGTGATGGCAGAAGTTGGGACCCTAAAACCAAGACTTTTTTTGGTCAAAATTCACCCCATTTCTCCTTTTTTCCTCCCATTTTCCCACTTTCAGCCCAGGGTCCAGGTGGGGCCCAGCCCTCTTGGCCCCATGGGAGAAGTGACCCCATCCCCAGGAAACCCTGAGTGAGTGCCAGGGATGCTGCTGTCCCATGCCCCTCTCTCCATGCAGGATGGAGTTAACACTGGGATGGTGAGGACGTTTTGGGATGGAGGGAGCAGGATTTTGGTCACTTGGGGGCTTTTTGTCACTAAAGGTCACCCGTGTCAGAATGAAGTCTCATCCTTTTCCTTGCGGGGTGGGTTATTCCCTCCTGGATAACTCCCAAGGGGGGGATCCCTCCCGCATTGGGATGTACCCCAGTCCCTTGCGGTCCCCTGGGAATGACAGGAGGACAAAGAGCCAGGACAGGGGGCACTGGGAGCACCCGGCCTGAAGGCAACGGGGGTGTCCCAGCGTGGGAAACCATCCCCCTGTGGAAGGGGACGAGTCCAGGACGGGGTGCACTACAGGGCACATAGGAAAGCAGGGTGCAGCACCCATGGGTGCCCCCCTTATGGAGCCCATATGGGTCAAAACCCCCTTATTTCTTTAAAACCTTCTTGTTCCATATGTAAAATCCTCGTTTTTCCCTTTTCCCCCCCAAAACCCCTCCTCCTTTAGGATAAAGCCAAACACCCCCAAATCCCCCCCTCCATCACCCTTCCCTCCCGCTGCTCCCTCCGCGCCCGGCAGGGGGCGCTACCGGAGGCAAGGGCGGGGCTAAGTGCTGGGAGGGTGGGCGGAGCTTCGCCGCGTGACGTCACGGAAAAGGGGCGGGGCGAGTCGGAGCAGTGCGCCCGCGGGTTCATTCATAAAGAGCCGGAGGGGAGAGTGGTCGGGGGTAGGTAAGGGGCAATTTTGGGGCTCCCCTTTGGTACTGGGGGCTCATCCATACGGGGTCACCCCCTTTAATGGGTTAAATACCCCTTGGGGGGTGGTTTGGGGGTGCTGCAGCTTCGGGCTGTGTAAAAGGGGGTGCTTTTGGGGGTGCGTTTGCAATGGGGGGGGGGGGGATATTCCTTGACCTTATCCTTAAGGAGATATGGGGGGAGCATCGCCTGAAGTGGGATGCGGTGATTGGGAGCCCCCCCACACACCCCGGTGCTGGCTCCGGCTGCCGCAGCGCGAATGTGGGTTAGGATAAAGGGTGGGGAAGGGGAGAAGTAGGTTAAGGGAAAACTCCGCATCCGCTGCCTGGAAAACGGGATGGAAAATCCCAGCCAAGCCCCTGCAGCGGGGCGGGATGCCGCGGTGAGGGGCTGCCCCCCAGAGCGGGGCCGGGGGATGCTGCTGCCTGGGCTCAGCGCCGTAGCGATGCTCCTGCCATCGTTTGCCTTTAAGACTGCGTTTCTGTGAGGGTTTCGTTGTCCCGATGGGGGCCGGGGGGGATGCGGTAGCGCTGGGTTTACCGGATAATCCCCCCTCCTTGTCCCACGCTGCCTCCAAGAGCCGTTCCCAAAGTGTTCCCGAGCGGCTGCTCCCTTTTTAGCCCCTTTATCTGCAGGAGCCAGCGGCTGAAACCCGGCTCCCCCATGGGGAGGGGAAGCCCTCGCTGGAATCCCAATGGGCAGTTTTGGGTTACAGGCTCTATTAGGGGCGGGCTGGGAATAAAAGTCTTACGTGATCCAGTGGGAACGGGGGGGAATTCCAGACCCAGGTTGCCTTCCCCGGTGTGTTTGCATTGATGCAAGTGGGGTTTGGAGCTGGTGGAGGCTGGGGTGGCCCCAAAGAGCAGCCACTGGTGGGGTTATTTTTGGTTCCTTCTGGCTCTTGGCAAGTAAATTGCGCTGGGTTTAGTTTTCCTAAAACTAGCTTCAGGTGGGGTGCTGAGCATCCCACCACGCAGGGGGTGGGTTTGTGCCTGCATCCCCCATCCCCAACTGCGGTGGCTCCGAGCTGCCCCCTAAAGCTCTATTGACAGCCAGGACCTGGAGCTCCCTGGTCCTGGGACCTCCTGCATCCCCATGGCAGGGTCTTGGTCATCCAAGGGATGTTCTTAATCCTTAGGTATTAAGCTTGGCCTCAGACCTGCTTTACCTGGGGCCAGCGCTGTTCCTGGTGGGGTTTAAACCCATTTGTCTTGAACCAGAGAGCCAGGATGGGGCTTGGAGCAAGCTGCTCCTGTGGAAGTGTCCCTACCCATGGCAGGGGGTTGGGACTGGATGAGATTTAAGGTCCCTCCCAACCCAAACCACTCTGGGGTTCTGTGATATGGGCTCTGCTGGCCCATGGCATCACTTACCCACAGCTCATGGTCCCTTGGGCACAGTGGGACCTGCTCATCCCCTCCCAAAGCCATTGCTGCTCCTTTCCTGGCACAGCAGCATCCCAAACATCTCAGGGTGTCCCTGAGGTGATGCTATTAAGCAGTCAAATCCTAACCCCCCCCCCCAAGGATTAATAAACTTGATGTTAGGCTTAAACCTTAAGCTCAGGTTTGAGTAGTGCTGGTTTACAGGGTGGAGGCTTTGCCCCAGTTTCGTCCTCCCTCCACAATCAAGGGGCGCATCCCAAAGTGTCCCCATGGAATGCCATTGCACTGGGATGAGGCTCAGTGGGGAGGTGGCACATGATGGGGTGATGGTGGTAGTGGACTCAGCCCCCCCCCAAAATCACAGGGTCCCAGCTTGGCATAGATGTTGCTGGTGCAGATAGGGCTTGGTGGCTCTTAGCTTGGCGATGCAGCTCCCAGGAGGGCTCCATGCTCCCTTACTGGGCGCTACTGGGAGGACCTGGAGCCCAGAGGATGCTCATTCCGGGCTGAGCCATCACATCCCAACCCATGTCCTGTCATTGCCCAGCTCTGCCCCATTCCCCCCCAGCATGGCCTCCTGCCGTGGGTCATTGGCTGCATCTCCCATGGGTGATGCCAAGCAGTGATTAGGAGCAGCAGAGGCTGTAACGAGGCTCTGGGGTGCTCACAGGACCGTGACAACCGGGGCAGTTTCCATGCGGGCTCAGAGGCTGGATCCGCCTTTGGGATGTTACTGACTCCTCCCCTTCCCTTCCCTTCCCTTCCCTTCCCTTCCCTTCCCTTCCCTTCCCTTCCCTTCCCTTCCCATCCCGGTGCTGTCCGCACGGATTGATTCAACCACTCGTTAAGGAAGGGGGGGATGAGCCTGTGGGAACCACGTTTCATTGCACTTGATTTTAATACTTCTTATTCAAGGACTTCGTTTCCTTGTGGCAGGTGCACAAAAGCCACCTCCAGAGCAGGAAAACCTTCGTGTAAAGGTGTTCAGCCTCCCTTGCCCCTTGTATGGTTCCCTTGTAGGGTTGGTCCCTCTCCGTTTCACATGGAGTTGGGGTCTGCAAGGGAAGGAGATGATGCTGAGCATCCCATAAATCCTCTAACAAAGCTTTCTGGGGGTGGTGGAAGGTCGCTGCTGCGGGGGTATCCAGGGAGATGCCCTGGAGCATCCCAGTGGAGGGGAACAGGGATCCACAAGCTGCTTCCCCCCCCCTCCCCGGGCAGGTCTCCCCTGGTGATGAAGAGGAACGGGATGTGCTGGTGGCTTGTCACTGTCCTGGGGGTGAGTACGGCCTCATCCATCCCATCCCATCCCATCCTCCTGCATCCCTCCTTCTGCCTCCTGTGATGCCAGAGCCCCGTCCAGCATCACCACCCCACGGCCACAATAGGGCAACCCAATACATTTCCCACCTGGAAGCTTGCAGCAGCCCAGCCCTGGGGAGATGCTGGGTTTGGGTTGAGGTTCCCCCTTTGCCTCCCACATTCTTCCTCCTCCTTTTCTCTCTTCTGCTGAGGCTTCTGTTTGGGAATGTGGCTTCTCCCTCGCTGCTCCTTCTGGGACCATCGGGTTGTCCCGTGTCCCATGAGAAGCCCTTGGGATGGGCCACAGAGGTACCTCAGGAGCTGGGGCTGCTCCTTGGGGTGCCTTGGCCTGAGCAAGGGTCGTGATGGGTTTTACCAGCCACAGTCAGTTTATCAGCACCATGTCACTGGTGATGGGCTCGCATCCATCATGGTCTGCGTGATGGGGTGGCATCCATCAGGTTGCTGGCGATGCGCGTGCATGCAATGGGACTGCATCTCTCACAACCCTTGTGACAGGTTGGGGTCACCGTGGTGCATGCAGTGCCTCGGGATCCATCATGTCGCTGGTGATGGTTTGTGTCCATCATGTCAGTAGCGGTGGGTTTGCATCCACCACGATGCACGCAATGGGTTTGTATCCATCACATCACTTTTGGACAAGGGCCTGTAGGGCCAGGCCAAGGGGAATGGCTTGAACCTGCCCGAGGGGAGACTGAGCTGAGCTCTTAGGCAGAAGCTCTTCCCTGGGAGGGTGCTGAGGCGCTGGCACAGGGTGCCCAGAGAAGCTGTGGCTGCCCCATCCCTGGCAGTGTTCAAGGCCAGGTTGGACACAGGGGCTTGGAGCAAGCTGCTCTATGGAAGGGGTCCCTGCCCGTGGCAGGGGTTGGAGCTGGAGGAGCTTTACGGTCCCTTCAACCCAACCCAGGCCGGGATTCTGTGATTCCATGCTAATCCCCCCGGTCCGTGCCCTGTGTTTGCACCCATCCCATCACCTCCCCTGCATCCCCACCAGCGCAGCTCTGGCAGCAGCAGGATTCTCACAGCACCTGGCGCTGAGCACTTCTCTTTGCTTCTCCTGCAGGTGCTGAGCAGCCCCGGTGCAGGGGCCGGGAGCTGCGGTCCCCGGGGGCACGGGACACCAGGATGCGCCCCCGGAGAGGAGCCCACTGGGGTAAGACACGGTGCATGCAGCCCGGGTGGAAGGTGCTGGATCCGTCCATCCATCGCTCACCTCCCTCTCCCTCCGTGCAGGAATGTGGCTCAGTGGGGAGGTGCCGAGCTTGTCCCCCCGGCACCTTCTCACGGGGGGACACATCCTGCTCCGCTCACACCCGCTGCCGGGATGGGAACAGGATCCTGGTGGCTCCGGGCACCGCGGGCACCGACAGCCGATGCGGATCCTGCCTCCCGGGGTGAGCCCTGCCAGGGGATGCTGCAGCCCCACAGCCCCGGTGCCGCTCGTGGGCCACATCCTGACCCTCCCGTCCCACCCCGCAGGTTTTACAGCCCTGAAGGGGAGAAGGAGCCCCGGGGCCCGTGCCTGCCCTGCGCCAGCGCTCCCCGCAGCACCCCGGGGTGCCGAGGTGGGTGCTGATAGAGCAGGGATGCTGGGACGTCTCCACTCCTCACACGAGTGGTTTCTGCTTCCCTCAAGGCAGCAGAGCTCTTGGGAAAAGGGGATTCCATCCCAACAAAGTCCTCCCTGAGGCTGATCCGGTGCTTTCCATCCCCAGGCCGGCGGCGAGTCCGCAGCCCTGAAGCCCTGGAGCAGCCGGTGGGGACCAACGGGACATGGGTGGCTCTGAGGGGTGAGGAAGAGGAGGAGGAGGCAGCAGCAGCACAGGCGGCCGTGCTGACCATTGTCCCGGTCTTCTGTGCCATGGGGCTGCTGGGCATCCTGGTCTGCAACCTGCTGAAGAGGAAGGGTTACTACTGCACCACCAGCAAGGAGCCCCAGCCTGGAGCCACCGGTGAGCCCTGGATGTGCCACATCCATCATCCCACATCCACCATCCCGCATCCATCATCCCACATCCATCCTCCCGCATCCATCCTCCTGCATCCATCATCCCACATCCATCCTCCCGCATCCATCCTCCTGCATCCATCATCCCACATCCATCCTCCCGCATCCATCATCCCACATCCATCCTCCCGCATCCATCATCCCGCATCCATCATCCCGCATCCATCATCCCCCATCCGTCATCCCGCATCCGTCATCCCGCATCCATCATCCCGCATCCATCATCCATCATCCCGCATCCATCATCCCGCATTCATCATCCCTCATCCATCATCCATCATCCCGCATCCATCATCCCGCATCCGTCATCCCGCATCCGTCATCCCGCATCCGTCATCCCGCATCCGTCATCCCGCATCCCTCATCCCGCATCCCTCATCCCGCATCCATCACCCCGCATCCATCATCCCGCATCCATCCTCCCGCATCCATCATCCCACATCCATCCTCCCGCATCCATCATCCCGCATCCATCATCCCGCATCCATCATCCCGCATCCATCATCCCCCATCCGTCATCCCGCATCCGTCATCCCGCATCCATCATCCCGCATCCATCATCCATCATCCCGCATCCATCATCCCGCATTCATCATCCCTCATCCATCATCCATCATCCCGCATCCATCATCCCACATCCATCATCCCCCATCCGTCATCCCGCATCCGTCATCCCGCATCCATCATCCCGCATCCATCATCCCGCATCCCTCATCCCGCATCCATCACCCCGCATCCATCATCCCGCATCCATCATCCCGCATCCATCATCCCGCATCCATCATCCTGCATCCATCATCCTGCATCCATCATCCCGCACCATCATCCCGCATCCATCATCCCGCACCATCATCCCGCATCCATCATCCCGCACCATCATCCCGCATCCATCATCCCGCACCATCATCCCACATCCATCATCCCGCATCCATCATCCCGCATCCATCATCCCCCATCCATCATCCCGCACCATCATCCCGCATCCATCATCCCGCACCATCATCCCGCATCCATCATCCCGCACCATCATCCCGCATCCATCATCCCGCACCATCATCCCGCATCCATCATCCCACATCCATCATCCCGCATCCATTATCCCCCATCCATCATCCCGCACCATCATCCCGCACCATCATCCCGCACCATCATCCCGCATCCATCATCCCACATCCATCATCCCGCATCCATCATCCCGCATCCATCATCCCGCATCCATCATCCCGCATCCCGCATCCATCATCCCGCATCCATCATCCCGCATCCCGCATCCATCATCCCGCATCCGTCTCCTCTCATCCAACCCATCCCCATGGCTTCTGGTCCTCCCTGACCCAGGGCATCCTCTTCATCCATGGTGGGGTTCATCCCCCAGTCACTCAAGCCCTCCCTTACTTCTCCGTCCAGGTCCCAGCTCCATCTACCCGCTGGAGGATGCCAATGAGGACACCATCGGGGTGCTGGTGCGGTTGATCACTGAGAAGAAAGGTCGGGGGGGGTTCCTGGGTAGGGGGTGACAAGGTTTGGACCCCCCCATGACCCCCTTTTGGTGTCCCCCCCCCATAGAAAACGCTGCAGCGCTGGAGGAGCTGCTGAAGGAGCATCACAGCCAACAGCCACCGGGCTGCGCCCCCCCAGATAAGTAAGGACCCCCCCAAAGCTGCACCGAGGACCCCCCACGGTAGGAGCAACCCCCCCCCGCTGACGCCGTCTCCCCCTCCTCCCCAGGCTGCACCTCCTGCCTCAGTTTCCCCCCTCCTGCCAGCACCAGCAGCACCTCCACACAGTGCAGGGCCCAGCCCCGTGCGCCCGCTGCAGCCAGAAGTGGCCCGAGGTGCTGCCACCGCTCAGTGCCACCAAGGGCCCCAAACCCGGGGGTCGGCCCACTGAGGTCACCATCCTCTCTGTGGGCAGGTGAGTGGGGACCCCCCCCATGGGTACCCCCCTCTCTGCAGGGTGGGGACAAGCTGATGTGATGCCCCTCAACAGGTTCCGCGTGTCCCGCATCCCGGAGATGAGGAGTGATGCAGGGGGTGAAGCCCACCATGGACCCCTGCCCACCGGGAGTGGGATGTGGTTGAGGAGCACTGATGGCCCCCCCAAGGTAAGGGGTGGGGTGGTGGGGGGGAGCCTCTGAGGGTCCATCATGGGGGAAACTGGGGCTGCAGGAAGCCGGAGGGGAGAGCGTTAACTCTGAAGCCTCCTGAGGGCATCCGGTGATGGCCAGGATGGAGCAGCCCAACACCCCTGAGCCTGTTCCAGCAGCTGGGAGGCTGCTTCTAAATGGGGTTTGGTGAGCTCCCCCCCTTCATCCCACCCCCTGTACCTAAGGGGTGGGTGCTGGTGCAAAGAGGTGGTTCTGCTTTCATACACCCCATCCCCTGCACACGCACCCCTATAGCATGCGAAAAGCATTTATGGCCGAACACCCCATAGAGCACATTTACATGCGTTTACATGTATAAATGTGCACTCACGCATGCACCAAAGCAGACATGTAGGCGCACGTGCACTCATACGTGTGCATGCACCTATACATGCGCCTATAGCCATGCACAGAGCGGGGGTCACACACTGCAGGGTGCTGGGGTGGCTGTGGGGCTGCAGTGTGACACAGGGGCACACGTGTCCTCACACACGCGCATACAACCCCCTGCACGTGGGCTGCAGCCACACGTGTCGGCATGGAAACACGTATGTGTGAGCATGTAGATGTGCACGCACACACAGGGATGCGCACGCATCACTGCACAGGCACAGAGTGAGATGTGCATATGGAAACCCGCCTCTGCACATCTACATACATGTGTGCACATGTATGTACAGTCACATATGTGACTGATGTTGTACATGCATGCAAACACACACCTGGAGCTCTCCAAGCGTGTCTTCACACGCACACACACAGAGATGTGCCCAGATGGGCTTGTTCACATGAGCACATGCATAAATGCACATGCAAACCCACATGCAGTGATGTCCATGCACACGCATGTATGCAGTCACACACACATGTATGCAGTTGCACATACATGTATGCAGTTGCACACACATGTATGCAGTCACACACATGTATGCAGTCACACACATGTATGCAGTCGCACACACATGTATGCAGTCACACACATGTATGCAGTCGCACACACATGTATGCAGTCACACACATGTATGCAGTCACACACATGTATGCAGTCACACACACATGTATGCAGTCACACACATGTATGCAGTCACACACACATGTATGCAGTCACACACATGTATGCAGTCACACACACATGTATGCAGTCACACACATGTATGCAGTCACACACGTATGCATGCAGTCGCACACACATGTATGCAGTCGCACACACATGTATGCAGTCGCACACACATGTATGCAGTCGCACACACATGCATGCAGTCACACACATGTATGCAATCACACACATGTATGCAGTCACACACACATGTATGCAGTCACACACGTATGCATGCAGTCGCACACACATGTATGCAGTCGCACACACATGCATGCAGTCACACACATGTATGCAGTCACATAGCATCAATGCAAACCCCCTCTGCACACACACACGTGTGCACACGTTCAGTCACGCACACACCCACGTGTGCACACGTTCAGTCACACACACACACACGTGTGCACACGTTCAGTCACACAAGCACACACACATGTGTGCACACGTTCAGTCACACATGCACACACACACGTGTGCACACGTTCAGTCACACACGCACACACACATGTGTGCACACGTTCAGTCACGCACGCACACACACATGTGTGCACACGTTCAGTCACGCACGCACACACACATGTGTGCACACGTTCAGTCACGCACACACACACGTGTGCACACGTTCAGTCACACATGCACACACACATGTGTGCACACGTTCAGTCACACACACACACGTGTGCACACGTTCAGTCACACACACACACACGTGTGCACACGTTCAGTCACGCACACACCCACGTGTGCACACGTTCAGTCACGCACACACCCACGTGTGCACACGTTCAGTCACACACACACACACGTGTGCACACGTTCAGTCACACACGCACACACACACGTGTGCACACGTTCAGTCACACATGCACACACACACGTGTGCACACGTTCAGTCACACATGCACACACACACGTGTGCACACGTTCAGTCACACATGCACACACACACGTGCACGTGGAGCTCTGTAAGCACACCCTGGACACTGTGTCCCCTCCAGCTCCTGTCACCCCACGTTCCCCCTCCACACACACACATTTGGGGTCACCTTGACCCTGCTGAGCCCATGGCCAAGTCCTGCAGGGCCTCAGCATCCTTATGGGGAGGGGGGCACTGGTGATGTGGGGACAACGTGGGTGGCTGCTTTTAGCAGGAGGAGGTGTCCCCTCCAACAGGGATGTCCCTGGCCAGCGACAGCCACCATGGATGAGTGTCTAGAGAGTGCCACAAGTGGCTCCGGCCACTTGGGTGATGCAGAGGGTCCAATCCAGCCTCATTCATGGTCCATCCCAGCTGGCACCAGGCCTGGGGGCTGCCTCGGGGGGACGGTGACACCCACAAAGACCCCACGGAGGGGACAGAGGATGCTGGGCACCGTGTGAAAGCCAGTCCTGTGTGGAGCCATGAAGTGCTGGAGGCGGCAGCGTGGCTTCTGCTCCTGCCACCAAGGTGTCCATCAGGAGCGTGGCAAACCCATCGTCTGGCCCAGCTGGTGAGAAGGATTCCCTGTCCCCAAGGACTGGTGGTGGCCATGGCACGGTGGGCTGATGGAGAGCACCTCTTGGAGCTGCAACACCGGTGGTGGTGGTGGCCATATCGTGGTCCCCTGACGGAGAGCATCTCTGGGAGCCATGATGCTGGTGATGGTGGCCACATCGTGGTCCTGTTATGGACAGCATCTCCTGGAGCTGCAGCACTGGTGGTGGTGGCCGTATCATGGTGAGCTGATGGAGAGCATCTCTGGGAGCCACTGATGCTGGTGATGGTGGCCACATCGTGGTCCCATTATGGACAGCATCTCCTGGAGCTGCAGCACCGGTGGTGGTGGCTGTATCATGGGGAGCTGATGGAGAGCATCTCTGGGAGCCATTGATGCTGGTGATGGTGGCCACATCGTGGTCCCGTTATGGACAGCATCTCCTGGAGCTGCAGCACCGGTGGTGGTGGCTGTATCATGGGGAGCTGATGGAGAGCATCTCTGGGAGCCATTGATGCTGGTGATGGTGGCCACATCGTGGTGCCCCTGATGGATAACATCTCTGGAAAGCCAGGATGCCAGAGCACAGCCCCATTGGAGACACCATGCAGTGGAGGATGTCGTGCAGCTGGGATGCCATGCCATGGTCACCTTGGTCTGTTGAACTGAAGCCTCTCCAGGAACACCACGAGCTCTTGATTTCCCTCCATCACGAGGTACCAGCACTCCACACCGCAGTCTAATGACAGTCTGTGGACCACGGAACAGCTCCCACCTTACAACAAGCCACCCAGGGCATGGGCTGACCTGGCCAAAAGCTGGTCTCCTGCATGGACATCTCTATCCAAGGTCTCAATCGACCCAGGAGATCCACTCTGCTCACCATGAAGCTCACACACTCCTCCTAGAGGACCACACTGACCTCTTCGATGGCCACGCTGGGCTCAGCGGAACGACCCACCCAAGGTTGAGTTGGTGACCACCAAGCTCCACAACCACCCTAGGAATGGGTTTATGGCTGCTCCCATTCACTTCACCCCCTCACCACCAAAAAAAAACCAACCACAGCCCCCTCTTGGGCTCTTTTATTTATTTTTTATCTCTTTTTGTTTTTTGGAAACATGTTCATAGGTCTCCAATGTTCTACATCTTACAGGTAATATCAGACAGTTACAAACTTGGAGGGGGGGGGGGGAGATCACGACCTGATCTTCAGAACCAAAACCAGAACAAACCCCAAAACCAGGGAACTAAACCCAAATGGACACTCTCAGATGGACAAACCGAGGCTGGGGACGCAGGGAGGGGGCTCTCCAGGGCATCACTTCAAGGCCATGCTCCCTCCACACCTTTGAGACTTGGAAGACATGGTTACTCCTGGGTTTTGTCTTTATTTCTCTTACTTTTTGGTATTTATGGTATTTATTTTTTGCTTAAGAGGTCAAATACTATTTAAAAATGAGCTGGTTTGGGGGGGGGGGAATGGGATTAAAAACCTTATTCCATAGAAAGAAGGGTAAAACCCAACGTGGGTTTGCTCAGTGCTAGGGGAACGGGAGGCTTTGGGTGCTACCCTGCACCCCACTGGCTCAGTTCTGCTTCCTTCCCATGCTTCCCGACCTCTCTGATCCCAAACCTCCTTCACCCTGGGAAACCCCAGCTCCATCCCCTGCAGGGAGCTGCAGCGATGCTGCAGGTGGCTGTATTGCATCAAGAGGCTTTTCCCTACAAACAGCACAACTGAGTGTTTCCAACTGGGAATTGCTGCTGTTGAAGCACGGATTTTGCTATTCCTGCTTTGCCAACATCCCTGTACCAGGCTGTTTTGCCTGATGACAGGTAAATCCCTAAGTGCCACGGTGCAACATGCTGGGAAAACACCTTCTCCAAGCTCTCTTTCCTCTCAGGCTCCCTTTTTTCCCTATAGGAATGCTAGTGCATGGCAGAGAAACCATCTGGAGCTTGATCCTGCTGGCAGCCCGAAGGGCTGAGGACAAAGTGAAAGGAAGATGGGCAGAGGGTCACTGTGTTTTGGGGTGATGGATGGAGGGCCTGGAAATACTGACAATTAATAAAAACTAACCCAAAAGCCCTGGATTTATGGATATCCAGCAGCTCTTATTGCTATTGTCGGCTGGTTGGGTTTCCCTATGGAAAATTATCCTTCAAATATGGGTTCCCTCAAAATATCCTCAAATGTGTACCCCTCTAAGAAAGCCAACCCCCATTTCACACCCTCTGGACAAGGGACCACATCATCCCATATCCCTGCATCCACTGGGATGGAGGAGGGGAGGGAGAGGATGGCAAAGAGAGAGGGCTTCGGGAAGGACCCCATTCAGTGGGATGCTGGTGGATGGGGAGAAAACGGATACCCTAAAACATGCATCCTTCAAACCAAGCCCTTCAATAACACTTCATGGTAAGTACATCCTGCAACTGCAAAAGCTGACCTGGGTTATTGTTATTCATTAAACACAAGAGCAAATGGTCACCTGGAGGGCTCAGCCCCTTGGAGGGGTGATGGATACAGGAGGTCACTCCGGTTGGGGGTCACCACCACTCTCAATTTGCCTTTTTCCCTCCCCACATCTTGGGTTACAGCTCGTGTTTTCAAGCAGAGATAATGGCAGGGATGGGTTCATGGCTGTAACAGTGGTTTCAGAGTGATTTTCCTTCCTCTTTAGCTGCAATATCAATCTCTGAGATACTTCAGAGGTTCCTAAGGATGGTTTAGCCCCTCCTGCTCCTCCTTGCTAATGCCCAGTGTGATCCTCCACCACAGGAAACCCTTTTGCTTAACTGACATCAGCAAAGCTTTGCTGGAGTGAAGTATCTGAGAAGCTGGTGGCCACCATCAGTGTTCCCCACACGGGAGTCCCCCACCAGGCTGCAACCTCCCCAGGACCTCCACTTAAGCCATGACTTGGCCAAGGAAAGGGCTTGGGATCATGGGCTTTCCTCTCATCATTCCATCTACCCAAACCCCAATATCCCTCCATGGGGAAGGGGACAGGGCTGCAGGTCACTGCTGGCATGAGCTGAGGGGCATCAAGCCCCACATCCCCATGCAGCAGCAGGGAACATCTCACCACCATCATGGACCCATGAAGCCACCTTGGGAAGGAGCTACCCAAGCCTGGAGCCATGCGGTGGCCCTGGAGCCATGCAGTGTCCAAGCCTAAACCCACCACCAGTTTCCAAACGTGCTCACTAGAGCCTCTCACCTGACAGGCAGTGAATGCTTCACCTCTCCACACCCTGGTTGAGTTAATGGCCTTTTCTGCCTGGGCACAACAGGATGAGGAGCACCAGCTCTGCTGCTGCTCCAAGGGAAGGGAGTTAAAACCTAAACCACCCCTGTCACATCTCAGTAGTGGTAACACTGGGTGATCTTCCTGGAGCTTTCTACCCCACCTTTAGTGTTCTCTTTCCTTTCACCAGCAAGCCTGGCAGCTCCTTCCTGGCCATGGACCCAAGTATTGGCACTCATTCCTAAAGCAGCTAAGGGTGAAGGGTGCCTAGGTCTGCTGGGCAGGACCTCCTCTGTAGAACCTAGGCTGTGATAACACTGAACCCTGCAAGCCATAGTGCCATTACTCTGGCTGGAGCTTACTCTACCCTATGTGTTTCCATGCTGACAGACAGCTCCTAACACATAGCCCGAGGTCAACATGAGAGGAAAGAAGGGTATTGAGAGGTCTTCAAGTCCTGTGATCTACTGGGTGGTTTTCCACCCAGGTTTAACTGCTACAGACAGTGGAAGGGTGATGTAGGAACATTGGTTCCAAATGTCCTGGTGCTCTTTATGTGCTAATCCTTGCCTTGGCCAAGGTGAACCCTTAGGGTTTTTTCTTTGGAGGGGGGGGGGGGGGGGGGGGGGGTCCTTCTCTTTTCCATTTATACAAACCCAAAGTGCAACCCAAAGTACCACACAGGAGAAATCCACCTTCCAACCCCACAGCACTGGTGGTCAGTCTTCCCCCACTCTGCTCCCCTCGAGGTTGGGAAGCTCAACCAGAGCTTTGCCAGATCTCCTTTAAAACCCCCATGACCAACTAAATGACTCCTATACAGAAGTGCTGCTTCCACCACCCAACCTGACAAACCACCGGGGACCAACCAGTGGAAGGAGAAGTCCTCTTGGGTCCCTAAGCTTGTTCCTCCTCATTTGGACCATGCTCATAGGAAGGAGCTCCATTAACTCCTCCCAATGGCAGCAGAAGCCAAGCTGGAGACACAACCAAGAGCAAGGTCTCACCCTGGTACCAACAATGGTCACGTTGCTCTTCTGAAAGCCCCTCCAGTCTGATCTCTGCACCACCATGTCCCAGTCAAGGTGACCCTCCAGTGCTGCTCTCCACTGCCCTCACCTCCACATGGAGATACGGCATACCCAAAGCAGAGCAACCAACAGACATCTGGGCACTGACTCAACACCACGCATGGGGCAGAAATCCATGACAGGCAATGCCAGGAGGGATTCCCACCCACACCTCCTAACCTGACTGCTTTAAAGGCTCTGGATTTGGTCCATTGTGACAACCTTGAAGCCCAAGAGATGCGAGCTGCGAACACACTGCTGGTGCACGTAACTCTTTTGGCACACTTGAGGGAAAAACTCGAAACCCAACAGTGGTTTTGTCTTAGGAAACGCAAAACAGAAGAAAAACCTTGTTTCTACACAGGGTTCAGGGATAAGGGCTTAAACATAAACTGGCCTCAAGTACCGTCTGCAAAACCTCTCTCTACTGCCCTCCATACAACTTATTGCTCCACTCGGATACCCCAAGGTGGGATGTCACTGGCCACACGTGGCCTCACATCTTCATGTCCTTGGGAAAGCCAAAACCCCCTGAACTTACCCCATTGCCCACAGCCTCCACGTGCCCATTGTATCCCAGCCTGGTCCCTGTCAACTGTGGATCACCTTCCGTGCTCTCGCCTTTCCTCAGGTGCCTTCCCATGAGGAAGGTGACGTGTTTATTGCTATTGCTTCCTCTTCCCCTCTGCTTCTCCCCACAGGCCAAGCAGAGCAGCTGCTCTCATCCCCCTCTCCTGCCTTTCTCTATGGTGCCAGGATTTGTGCTTGGATGAACATTTCTCCTGGAAGCCTCAGCTGTAACCCAAAGAATGAGGGGAGCACCTTGACTACCATGGAGGAATCACAGTTTGGTTTCAGCCCTGCCAATGACACAGGTGAAAGGTGAAGCCACCCGTCTTCCCCCTTGCCCCACCTCAAAGACTCTTCTCCATCAATCAGCTCTCCTCCTTTCCCACACTATGAGACTCTAGAGAAGCTCTTCAAACCAAGCCTTGGACCTGGAGAAGCTCTTCAGACCAACCCTTGGACCTGGAGAAGCTCTTCAAACCAAACCCTGGACCTGGAGAAGCTCTTCAGATCAACCCTTGGACCTGGAGAAGCTCTTCAGATCAACCCTTGGACCTGGAGAAGCTCTTCAAATCAAACCCTGGACCTGGAGAAGCTCTTCAAACCAAACCCTGGACCTGGAGAAGCTCTTCAGATCAACCTTTGGACCTGGAGAAGCTCTTCAAATCAAACCCTGGACCTGGAGAAGCTCTTCAGACCAACCCTTGGACCTGGAGAAGCTCTTCAAACCAAACCTTGGACCTGGAAGAAGCTCTTCAAACCAAACCTTGGACCTGGAGAAGCTCTTCAAATCAAACCCTGGACCTGGAGAAGCTCTTCAAACCAAACCTTGGACCTGGAGAAGCTCTTCAAACCAAACCTTGGACCTGGAGAAGCTCTTCAAACCAAAACCTTGGACCTGGAAGAAGCTCTTCAAACCAAACCCTGGACCTGGAGAAGCTCTCCAAACCAAACCTTGGACCTGGAGAAGCTCTTCAGATCAACCTTTGGACCTGGAGAAGCTCTTCAAATCAAACCCTGGACCTGGAGAAGCTCTTCAGATCAACCTTTGGACCTGGAGAAGCTCTTCAAATCAAACCCTGGACCTGGAGAAGCTCTTCAGACCAACCCTTGGACCTGGAGAAGCTCTTCAAACCAAACCTTGGACCTGGAAGAAGCTCTTCAAACCAAACCTTGGACCTGGAGAAGCTCTTCAAATCAAACCCTGGACCTGGAGAAGCTCTTCAAACCAAACCTTGGACCTGGAGAAGCTCTTCAAACCAAACCTTGGACCTGAAGAAGCTCTTCAAACCAAACCCTGGACCTGGAGAAGCTCTTCAAACCAAAACCTTGGACCTGGAAGAAGCTCTTCAAACCAAACCTTGGACCTGGAGAAGCTCTTCAAATCAAACCCTGGACCTGGAGAAGCTCTTTCAGACCAACCCTTGAACATCTCCTTGCTTCCTTCAACAGCCACCCAGCTCATCTCTGCCTGCAAGCAGTAGCCACACAAGGAAGGAGCTGCCTTCTCCCTCACACAGCCCCAGGACGTAGCCGATGGGGAGCACCCTATATACCCAAGAGGTGCAAGATGCTACCAGGGCACGTGTGTCTCTGCTGCTCTCTTCCCATCACACAAAATCCATTTGCCCAGTCGGAAAAAGCAGCCCAAAGACCTGATGGTGCCCATTCCTCATACTTCCTAAGACAAGTGTGTTACGTCGCTAATGATACTTATATTCTCTTAACTCCTACAAAAGAAGGGATGAGTTCAGAACTTCACTGCAGATAATGCATTTATAATCTATCACAACAGCTATCTGGAAGACACCAAGTTGCTTTTTTTTCTTGCAATATGTTATGGAAGATTAAATAATTTATATTCTTCAACTAAAAATACCCAAACCAAAATGGGAAGAAGAAGCCTGCCTACCAGCGCTGTGCTTTTCACGTAGTACCCTGAACATCAACCACTCTTACTAGCCAAAAGAAATCTAGGCTCTTGCCAACAACAACGACAACAGAAAGATCATGAAAAGAACCCAAAACGAACAAGAAGTGGGGGGATCTTTGCACCACTCAGCTGGGCAATGCTGGAAAAACAAAACAGTGGAATAGTCTGAGCTTTCCAATGATAGGACTCCAAAGAGAACTCGACTATTGCTCAGTGTCAGTACGTGTGTTACACAATGGATGTGGGGTGGGGAGGAGGAAAGGGGAGAGGAGAAAACAATAAAATAAAAGGGAGGCAGAAGATTAGAAAAAGCAGCTTTTACAAAACCACTAAAGAATGCATAAAGTGACCCTTGCACTTTTGTTGGTTTTCTTTTGTTCTTGCAAACAGACGAGGTGCTGCAGGACAGCGGCCACAGCACCGATGTAAGACTTGTGTAGTTGCATACAATGTTTGACTCTGGATCTGGAAGAGAGCAGAGATATCGCAAAGAAGGAGTTAGGAGCAAGTGGTGCACGGTAGGAAGGTTCTAAAGAGCAGCCTGGACAGGCTGGATAATTGGGCTGTGGCCAATAGGATGAGGTTCAACAAGGCAAAGTGCCGGGTCCTGCACTTGGGTCACAACAGCCCCATGCAAAGCTCCACGTTTGGGAATTGTGGCTGGAAACTGCCCATGGAAAAGGAGCTGGGGGTGCTGATGGATGGAGCTGAACACGAGCAGCTTGTGCCCAGGCAGCCAGGGAGCCCCCAGCATCCTGGCCTGGATCAGCACCAGGGCGGCAGCAGGGCCAGGGCAGGGATTGTGCCCCTGCACTGGGCACTGGTGAGGCTGCACCTCGGATCCTGTGCTCAGCTCTGGGCCCCTCACTGCAAGAGAGACATTGAGGTGCTGGAGGGGGGCCAGAGAAGGGCAGTGGAGCTGGTGCAGGGCCTGGAGCCCAAGTGTGATGGGGAAGGGCTGAGGGACCTGGGGGGTTCAGTGTGGAGAAGAGAAGGCTCAGGGGGGACCTGATGGCTGCCTACAAGTGCCTGAGAGGAGGATGGAGCCAGGAGGGGCTGGGCTCTGCTCCCAAGGAACAAGGGATGGGACAAGAGGAACCGGCCTCAAGCTGCACCAGGGCAGGTTTAGATGGAGCTGAGGAACAATTCCTGCCCCAGAGGGTGCTCAGGCATTGGAACAGGCTGCCCAGGGCAGGGCTGCAGTCACCGGCCCTGCAAGGGTTCACACAGCGTGGAGATGAGGCCTCAGTGCCATGGGGCAGTGGTGGCCTTGGCAGTGCTGGGATGAAGGTTGGACTGGATGGGCTTAAAGGGCTTTTCGAACCTGGCAGACTCTGTGATTCTATGATCAGAGAGAGCTGTTCTCCTCTCCTCTGCACCCCTATAGCAGCACCCATAGCTGATGTACATGGGATTTAACCATTCTCGTGCCGCTGAGTGCCCAATTTCTTGGGCAGGGAGCTGAGGAAGCAGCAGCTCGGTGGTGGTATCCATTGCAGAGGATTAAAAATGTGCAGATGGGATCCTCTCTGCTAATTGCACAACGATTTGTCATGGGAAGGATTAGCTCAGTGTAATGTATGCAGCAAGGAGAGATTTCAGATAGCCCCCAGGGCTGGTTGATCCTCGCTGCCTCCCCGTGCAGCATCATGTGTTCCCATCAGCTGCGTTCCCTGTTAATTGGGCATGAAGGACCAAGAGCTCCATCAACACAAGGAGGGTGTTTAAATGAGCAGCTGGGACTTTGGGGATCCTGAGCATGACAGGAACCTGCAGCTGGTTGTAGGCAGCTGCACACAAGGCCCATGATAACAAACAGGATGTTTTAGAAGGCTCCTTAAGGGGAGACCTCAGAGCAGCTCCAGTGCCTAAAGGGGCTGCAGGAAAGCTGGAGAGGGGCTTGGGACAAGGGCCTGTAGGGCCAGGCCAAGGGGAATGGCTTGAACCTGCCCGAGGGGAGACTGAGCTGAGCTCTTAGGCAGAAGCTCTTCCCTGGGAGGGTGCTGAGGCACTGGCACAGGGTGCCCAGAGAAGCTGTGGCTGCCCCATCCCTGGCAGTGTTCAAGGCCAGGTTGGACACAGGGGCTTGGAGCAAGCTGCTCTCGTGGAAGGGGTCCCTGCCCGTGGCAGAGAGCTGGAACTGGATGAGCTTTAAGGTCCCTTTAACCCAGACTGCTCTGGGATTCTATGTAAGGTCAAGGTACACTATGCTTTGCTAAAACCTTCTGTAGCCCCACGACAGAGCCCCATGCAGGCATCCCTAGTCGGGAGCAGTGCTAAAAGGCTCTTCTGTAGACAAAAGCATCACCTTGAGAAAGGGATTCAGCAGCTTTGCAGGCAGGAGAGAAGCAATAGCAGTGCTTGGTGGTTAATTAATCAAGAAGAGCAGGGCAAGGCCTGCCAAGGCAGCACTTACATGAATTGGCCAGTGGGTTTACCAGTGTGGAGGTACATAGCTGTAGGTGGGGGTTCCTTGAGCCCTGTACGTTGGCACGGAAACTGGATGTGCTCCGATGGCAGTGTGTTGTGGGGTGGTCAACAAGGTTCCTGCAATGGCATGGAGAAATATGTTAGGAGAGGTTAGACAAGATTAGGAACAAGTCCTGCCCCAAAGGGTGCTCAGGCATTGGAACAGGCTGCCCAGGGCAGGGCTGCAGTCACCGGCCCTGCAAGTGTTCACACCCCATAGAGACGAGGCCTCAGTGCCATGGGGCAGTGGTGGGAATGGTTGGATTGGATGAGCTTAAAGGGCTTTTCCAACCTGGTTGATTCTGTGATTCTAAGGGGCAGGCACTGCATGAGCTGCCTTTTTTCCCCTTCTCCAATTCCCTCAAATATTATCGGCCTGTGAGACCTGAAGCAAAGGTGTTTTGAGTCGTGTGGTTGGTATCAGCCAACACCACGAACAGAATAAACCCACCTGAAGCTCCAGCACATTTTCCATGCTGGTTTTGGCCTCAACTCATCTTTTTCTAATTTCCCTTGTCCCTGAAGACTAGAAGTAGCCAGAAATCTGCTGATATCTTCCACCTGCTAAAGGCACTGGGCCCAGCTGCAACAGCAAACCACTGCAGTGTTCTCAAAGGACCAAACTGCATGGGATGAGGATTGTAAAAGGAGATGAGAAAAAGCCAAGAACGTCCAGGGAAAATAAAGATGAGCTTTGCCATTCATCTCCCAAGGGCAGGGGAGCTCTTTTGCTTCATTTAAACCCCCCTGAGCTGAGAGCCTTGGGATGCAGCAGGAATGATCCGCTCCCAGCCGCAAAGCAGGGGAACTACCCCATGCATCCTCTTTTCTTTCAGCCTTCAGCTGATACACAGAGGGATTTCAGGTGGGAATTTGCACAGTGCCTTCAGCAGACGTGGGGAGGGAGGATACAGCCCTCAACTACTCTGCTCTGGGAGTAATGGGGTTCTTGAAACAACTTCTCAGTTCCTGGCTACTGCAAATGCTACTACAGAGAATTTAAAGCATCCCACGTGCATCTCCCCACTCTCAGTATAAGCAACAGTAAATCTCTGAGAGGTTCTTGTCAACCCAGGCTGCAGTATCTCTGCTTGCAACAAGGGCTGTGGCCCATAACAAAGCCCTGTTTCACAGCTCATGCAGATGCAGAGGGATGAATGAGGTGTTTCTTGGCATAATTCAATATACAATCCTAGGGATTGTTAATGAGAAAAATACAGGCTTTGGGAAAAATAAACCCAGCCCATACCCTTACTTAATGTGCTGTCAATAAAAGCAATCCTGCACATAAACTGCAAAGGATTTGGGATGCAGAAACCAAGGTTAATGTTCATTTTGTCAAATGAAAGTAAGACCATTTAAGTGTCCTAAAAAAGGAACCCGAGGATAGAAATACAATACTGAAGATGGACAAACCTGGTTATACCTCTGATTATGGAACAGATGGAGGAAGGATAATGTATTTAAGGATGCAAGAGTTCATGTCTCTAGAGTGAGCCAAACGCAAGGTCTCTCTGCTTACCTAAAAGCTGAGTTACATCTGTATCAGGAGCATTTTTGCCTGCCAAGGAGAGGTGGCAGCAAGCAGAACTAGCAACTTGCTGTGTTCAAAGTGCTTCTGGAGCCCCCGTCCAGGTACACCCTGCAAGGCTGCAGGCGGCACAGAGAGCTCTTCATCCAGGATACATCTCTGGCACAGGTTGTTGGGACGCCTCCCAAACTGTGGCTCAGAACAAGGGGAGATTTGCCTTCTTACCTGCTGACATTGCCATGGTGGTCCCAGCAACCATGCCCATGGCCACACCGTTGGTCCTGGGCGCAGCGACCGGGGCCGGGTAGATGGCCGATGGGATGCTGTTGGGCTGAACCACGGTGGTGTGATGGATAACGTGAGGCTGTGCCGCGTACACTGGCTGGGTATAATAAGCTCCCTGTTGGAGAAGGGATAAAAACCACCATTGTCTTTGTCATTGGACTGACAGCACAAGCCAAAGCAGTGGCTTTGAAGGCCAGTATTCTATGGAGAGGCAAAGACCAGCTCTGTGTGCAGGGGGTGTCAGCTGGGCAGGGAGATACTGTAGGTCCTGCTATGGGGTGAGCAGCGATGCAGCATCACAGCCCCATATTTACCCCCTGGAGAGAAGGGACATAGGATATTCCCAAACCCAGCCTGTCCCCTGAGCCCAAAGTGTGGGGTGACTGTCCTTCACCCTGAGACTTCAAGCATTTAGCTCCTCTAGACCTGCTGCACAGCAGTCTAGCAGTCTTAAACACAAGGTTCTTTATTTGGGTTGGGGCAAACCCCAGCACAAAAACAGGCTGGGGGAGACCGGGTGGAGCAGCCTCAGGAGAAGGACTTGGGGGTGTTGGGTGAGGAGCTGCTGTGAGGGCTGGAGCAGCTCTGCTCTGGAGCCAGGCTGAGAGAGCTGGGCTGGGGCAGCCTGGAGAAGAGAAGGCTCCTGAAGGGGAGACCTGAGAGCAGCTCCAGTGCCTGAAGGGGCTGCAGGAAAGCTGGAGAGGGGCTTGGGACAAGGGCCTGGAGGGCCAGGCCAAGGGGAATGGCTTGAACCTGCCTGAGGGGAGACTGAGCTGAGCTCTTAGGCAGAAGCTCTTCCCTGTGAGGGCGCTGAGGCGCTGGCACAGGGTGCCCAGAGAAGCTGTGGCTGCCCCATCCCTGGCAGTGTTCAAGGCCAGGTTGGACATGGGGGCTTGGAGCAAGCTGCTCTAGTGGAAGGGGTCCCTGCCCGTGGCAGAGGGTTGGAACTGGGTGAGTTTTAAGGTCCCTTCAACCCAAAGCAGTCTGTGAAGATTCTATAATGAAGACAAGCTGGTGTCACGTGTAGCTGCTGGAACACCATTTGAGCCCTGCAAAGGGCTGGTCCTTCCCATGAGGCAGCTCCTTCTGCCTGCAGACCTGGATAAGGAAGAATGAAACTGAACCTGAGGACATGTGGGGTGGTCTCTGGAATGCAGAGAGGCAATGGGAAGGGAGTGGAACACCATCCTGACCTGGAAAGTCAGGTCGTTGGGGGAAATGCCATGGAAGCTGTAGGGCCAGATACCCCTGAGGAGTTTGTGATCTTCAGTGGGAAGGGGGCACAGAGGTGGGTTTCAGAGGACAACTGCTCTAAACTACATCCCTGTGGAGGATCTTGGCCCCAGCACATAGCTGCAGGTGGTGGCAATGCAGGGGCAGAGAAGATGGCACTGGAAACCCATCCAGGTGCTGGGGGAGGAGCTGCCCTGTGAGGACACAAACCTGGGTCATGCCTGAAGTAGCCTGTGCTGGTGAAGGAGACACAAGGGTTTCCCAAGGGAACTGGCAGGAGGGTGTTGCAAGTCAGTGAGATGCCAACAGCCACCAGCAAACAGACCTTGGGATACCCCAGACTCATTTGTGGCCCTTGGGAAGAGCAACACTGAGCACTGGGGAAGGTGGGGAGAGGTGGGTGCAGGGACTACCCTGGAGCCATGGGGCCCCAGCATGTGGTTTTGGAGGAAGGGACCTGATTCCCAACCTCACTGAGACACTGTGTTGACTCCACTACACATCAACAACCATGTAAGACCATGTCTCATGCAGAGGATCCAACTGAGGAGTCAAGAGAGAGACCCCCAACATCCCAGAGACCCATCAAGCCCCACCATGAGCGCCTCCATCCCACCAGGACATGGGTGCTCAGCCCTGACAGCCGAAGATGAAGCCCTGTAGGAACCTCAGGCTGCATTTGCACGCTGTGGAGTGAGGTGATGGGTGAGGAGGCACCTACCTGGGTGTACAGGTTCTGCTGTGGATAGGCACTTCTGATGGGGTACATAGCGGTTTGGTACGGGTTCGGAGACGGCGAGTAGGGAGGAGGTGCGTTGTTACTCTGGGTCGGTGGGACCTTGTAGGGAGTCCCCGCAGTGTACCCTGCCAAAGAGAAGGGGAGTCCAAGTGAGGGTGAGGATTCCCAGCTGCAGAGCTGGCCCATGGAGAGAACATGAGCAACCCAAGCTGCTGTTCATGACGCGCCGGTTGCTCGCCGGGCATCACTCAGCATGGAGGAGACACCAAGCTGGATGAGCATCTTCTGATGTGCCATGAAACACACCAAGCTGAGACCTGAGTCCAGCACCCAGCCCCTGGCTAATCAATCACAGCAGCCAGGCCTACATTCCCTACCCAGCCCAGCTGTGGCTCTTCCCAAAACCAGTGGTCCAAACCTGTGCATTCAGCTCTGGGTCCCCCAACACAAGAGGGATGTGGAGCTGCTGGAGCGAGGCCAGAGGAGGCCATGGAGCTGCTGCGAGGGCTGGAGCAGCTCTGCTCTGGAGCCAGGCTGAGAGAGCTGGGCTGGGGCAGCCTGGAGAAGAGAAGGCTCCTGAAGGGGAGACCTGAGAGCAGCTCCAGTGCCTGAAGAGGCTGCAGGAAAGCTGGAGAGGGGCTTGGGACAAGGGCCTGGAGGGCCAGGCCAAGGGGAATGGCTTGAACCTGCCTGAGGGGAGACTGAGCTGAGCTCTTAGGCAGAAGCTCTTCCCTGTGAGGGTGCTGAGGCGCTGGCACAGGGTGCCCAGAGAAGCTGTGGCTGCCCCACCCCTGGCAGTGTTCAAGGCCAGGTTGGACACAGGGGCTTGGAGCAAGCTGCTCTATGGAAGGGGTCCCTGCCCGTGGCAGGGGTTGGAGCTGGAGGAGCTTTAAGGTCCATTCCAATCCAAGCCATGCCATGATTCTCTGATTAATATTTAGGTGAAAACAATGGATGCCTTTAAGTATTCCATGAAGGTGGATAGTTCTGAGCAATTTCTCGTCCTGCAAAGGAGGATGCGACCATCAGCTCACTCTCCAGGTTGGAGAGGCACCCCCAAGTGATGCTCAAGCATCTGTCCTGCTCCCCTCAGGCTATTTGCCTTAGCAACAAAAACAGCAAATCTGCTTTATTGCCATTAAGAAAAGCCATTTCTCTGCTCCATCAACAGGCACCACAGGTTGCTGCCAAGCCAGGAGGAGCAGAGAGCCTCGGGAGGACAGTGGGGTGGCAGGCACAGGCATCAGGACCAAAACTGATCACAGTATTCCAGCGGCAGCCTGACCAGTGATGAGCACAGTGGGACAGTGACACCTTTATCCCTGTGGTGATGCCCTTGTTGATGTTCCCCAGCACCCTGGTGGGTTTCTTTGCTGCAGCCGCTCACTGTTCACTCCTATGGAGCTGGTTCCTCCATGTCCCTTTCCCAGAGCTGCTCCAGTCAGGCACATCCCAGCCTGAGCTGCTCCAGGATTGGGTTTGCCCAGGGGCAGGACCTGACACTTGTCCTGTTGAGCTCCATCAGGTTCTTCCCAGGCTGTCCAGCTCACCCTGCAGGGTGGCTTCCCCTTCCCAGTGTCCATTTCCCCACTGAGTTTGGTGCCACTGGCAAACTTCATCAGGGAGCACTTGATCCCATCACCCACATCACTTATGAAGACACTGAGCAGTGTTGGGCCCAGTATCTACCCCACCAGTGACAGGTCCCCAGCTGGAAAAGGAACACAGGGTGTCAGAAGGTTCACCACCACCTCTGGATAGTTCCCTACCCACCACACACAGCACTTGTCTAGATCATAAAGTAGTGGTTTCCCCAATCTAATCCTAATCTAACCCTCAAGAACACTTGAAGTTGTGCTTTAAGGGGTTTTCTTTTAGGGCAGACTAAAAGCTGAGCTGCTGCCATGGGGTGCCTTAGGCTGCATCAAGTGTGCCACAAAGGCATCAAGGCGTTGGTCACAGCTTAATGAACAAGTAAAATAGGAATGGTAAGGAATCTGCTCACACAAGCAGGGAAGAACATGTACGATGGGATGGCTGCTGGGAAATGGTATCCAGCTCTTGCAGAGGACTGGGAGAAACCAACCTTAGAGCAAACAGGCTCCAAAGACCGTGTAGGATGGAGAGGAGAAGCCAAGGCTCAGCCCAGCAGTAAGATATCCAAGCACTCAAACATAATGAAGTCATTTACTCAAGCACTATTCAGGGCAGCGATTAATGAAGGCAAAGCCTGCAAGGCTGCTAATAGCCCACATTATCCGCCCAGCACTGCAAGGGCGTGAAGAAAACAAGCTTTCTAGGAACTCCCAAACAGCATCTCACCGCCTCCTGCTTGCTGCACATCGGATCCAATGTGTTAATTAAACAGCAGAAGAGCTGTGACCTTTTCTTCTGACTCACATTAGCAGGAGAGCGACTATCTTTAAAGGAGAGATGGAACTGCAGGTTCTGAAGGGCTGCGTTCACCACAGAGACATCATGAGCTCCTCCAGGAACCCAACAACGTCACCTACAGAGCCACCAAGCTCCTGTTCAACTTTACCCATTTTCTTCTCTTCTGAACTCCTTTCTTTAAGGCAAAGACCTTGGATGCCAGCTCTCAGCATCACGCTTCATTTCTGATGGGCGTCTGGAGCTGTGGACCAGCTCAAGGCTGTGCAGTTTCAGCACCTGAACGTTAAGCCTTGATGTGGCTTCCCAATTGCTGAATCATGGACAATTTATCTATGATATTAAAAGGGTATTAAGCATAACAGCCCATGGAAGATGGAATCTGCCATGTTTTCCCAGACAGGTGGTGGATGCCCCATTCCTGGAAGCATTCAAGGTCAGGCTGGATGGAGCTTGGGGCAACGTGACCTACTTGAAGATATCCCTGATCACTGCAGGGGGATCTAGGGTTGGACTAAATGAGCTTTAAAGGTCCCTTCCAACCCAATGAATGGAATTCCATGATTCTCCTTGAAAAGGGACATCCCTACCGTCCACTGGGTTAGGGACACTACCCCTCACATGGTGCATGAGCTTGGCATGACAGCTAATTTCATGCTAGATCAGATTTGACCAAGTTTTAAGTGTTTGGAAACTTTCAGCTTGGAATTAATAGAAACCTAGATACTATTTGGCAAAATTCCCTTGGAATTTAACCCATGCCTGGATGTGCTTTCTCCTTCCCACTGCACCCCCAGGCTGCTGCAGGGGAGATTCCTCCTTCCAAATCAGAGAAGGCAAGAGCAGATACCATGGTAGAAACGGGTTTGGGGGCAAATTCTGGCTGTGGCCACCAGTGTGTGGTCACTGGGCAGCCCCATGCAGGCTGGTCTCATTGCCAGAGAACTGGCTTGGGCACATTGAATTGGGAAATCAAATTTAAGACATAAAGCCCTGAGGTTTTGGAGACGCTTCACCCATCACTGTGGTGGATCTCTGATGGGAGATGCTGCCTTAAGCACAGGCTCGGAATAATCAGAAGCACTTCAGGTTGGGCGTCCCAGACTGGATCTGTCCTTTGGCTCCATCTCAGCACCCTCCCAGGGAAGAGCTTCTGCCTTGTATCCAACCTGAACTTCCCCTGTTTCGGTTTGAACCCATCACCCCTTGTCCTGCCACTGCAGTCCCTGATGAAGAGTCCCTCCCCAGCATCCTTGTAGCCCCCTTCACACACTGGAAGCTGCTCTGAGGTCTCCACGCAGCTTCTCTTCTCCAGGCTCAACAGCCCCAATGTTCTCAGCCTGGCTCCATACAGGAGCTGCTCCAGCCCATTAGAACCTAGGAGCGGTCCCACCTCGTGCTTGCAGCACGCCCCATGCCTCAGCTTTAACAGGCAACATGAGGGCAAGAGCAGGCAAGAGCAGTTGGGCAGGGGCCAGGGGACACCCCACATAGCAGGGGAAGCACCAGGGGCCTTATGTGGGAGCTTATCACCCCTCCTGGAGGCACTGTTGGGCCTCTTAGGGGATGAGATTACAAGGCTTCAGCTGGAAAAGCCTGTTTAACCACGATCCATAAGCAGCATCTCCTCCCCCTGCCCCTGAGCAGCCAGCTTGAGTTAAAAGGTGGGAATTTCATCCTGGATTCCTTGAAAAACAGCCTGGAGTTTGGAATTCTCTGTTCTAAGGGAATAGGAAACAATCTCCCTTTGTTTTTATGACATATATCGTTCTCCTCTACCACAGAGCATCACCACTGCAGTATACACTTGAAATCAAGCCCAGGTTGCTCCTGGGGACCAAACACTTGGCTGAAAGAGGCCTTCACCCTTCTCCATTTGACTTGTTCCTCTGAAGGAGCACTGGGAGGGTCGGTGCTCTCCTCTTCATGCTCCTTCATGGTTTGAACACATGAATAAAGGATGCTACCTTGTTTTGAGTGGAAAAAACCACAACATTTCATCCCAGAAGGGAAGTGCAGCTCCGACTGGACATCTCAGGCAGAAGGTGACAGATCTGCTACACAGTGCAGAGCGAGCAACCCCAGGATGTGCAGCATCCTCACTGTGTCAGCACACAGGCAGGACACACAGACACAAATGATCCCATCCATTTCAAACAGGCTGATCCCAAATAACCCCATCCCAAAGTAATCCCCAAGAGGGGAGGGAAACGGGCACAAACCAACCAAGGAAAACCCCAGAAGAAAAGGTTTATTTACTGAATGCTGCAGAAGAAGCCTGGTAAGTTCTGTTCTCGGTGCCGGTGTCCACTGGGAGGTGGAAGGTGCCCTCCGTGGCACAGGAGGAGGAGGTCTGTGGCCAGGCTTGCTTCATCAGAAGTGTAGCTGGATGGAGACAGAGAAGAGGTGTCACACACAGCAATGAACAGACTTCCCATGCTTAGGTCACATCTGGACCACTGTGCTGCTCTCTTCCTTTCCCCTCCCACCTTTCAAGGACAAATATCCATAGGAATGTTGCACCATGGTTCCTCTTGTCCCACCTCATCCCCACGGAGGGATGGTTTGCAGCAAACCAGTTCCTTGGCTTCCTGAGCTAAGAGACCTGCATGAAGATCTACAACAGAGGGACACTGCTAGCAAAGCCACCAGCCCTCCCCAGCTACCACTGGTCGCCTCTGTGCATATGAACCAGTAACGGTTGTCCTTGCCCTTTCCCAGCTGGAAAACAGGCTGAGCCGGGTGTGCAAGGCATTTTACCCCCAGTAAGACCCTTTGAGATGCTTGCATGGCAGATGCCACCAGTGGACAAGGTACTAGTTGCTGTGACTGTCCCATCGCTTTGTTTGGAGGTCCTTAGAAAGCTTGGAAGGGACAGTGAGCAAAAGCAGTGGCTTTGGGAAGGCCGTCCTGTATCCCAGTTTATGGAAAGTAATTTATAAAGCCAAGTGTGATAACCCAGAAGAACATCAAGAGTCAAATCTTGTGGGATTTGAGACACAACCAGCAAAATTCAATGAACCAGCACTGGCTATACCCGTACAGAACCCTAGAATCGTTAGGGTTGGAAAGGACCTTAAGATCATCCAGTTCCAACCCCCCTGCCGTGGGCAGGGACACCTTAACGCTAAATCATATCACCCAAGGCCTCGTCCAACCTGGCCTTGAACACTGCCAGGGATGGAGCATTCACAACCTCCCTGGGCAACCCATTCCAGTGCCTCACCACCCTCACAGGAAAGAACTTCTTCCTTAGATCCAATCTAAACTTCCCCTGTTTAAGTTTGAACCCATCACCCCTTGTCCTATCACTACAGTCTCTAATTAAGAGTCCCTCTCCAGCATCCTTGTAGCCCCCTTCAGACACTGGAAGCTGCTCTGAGGTCTCCACACAGCTTCTCTTCTCCAGGCTCAACAGCCCCAATGTTCTCATCCTGGCTCCATACAGGAGCTGCTCCAGCCCCTGCTCATCCTCGTGGCCTCCTCTGGACTTGTTCCAACAGCTCCATGTCCTTTTTATGTTGAGGACCCCAGAACTGCACACAATGCTCCAGGTGAGGTCTCACAAGAGCAGAGCAGAGGGGCAGGATCACCTCCTTCGCCCTGCTGGTCACGCTCCTTTTGATGCAGCCCAGGATACGGTTGCTTTCTGGGCTGCGAGCGCACACTGAAGCCGGCTCATGTTCATTTTCTCATCAACCAACACCCCCAAGTCCTTCTCCTTGGGCTGCTCTGAATCTCTTCTCTGCCCAACCTGTAGCTGTGCCTGGGATTGCTCCAACCCAGGTGTAGGACCTTGCACTTGGCATGGTTAAACTCCATGAGGTTGCCATCAGCCCACCTCACAAGCGTGTCGAGGTCCCTCTGGATGGCATTTCTTCCCTCCAGGGTATCAACCGAACCACACAGCTCGGTGTCATCGGCAAACTCGCTGAGGGCGCGCTCAATCCCACTGTCCATGGCAGCGACGAAGATGTTGAACAAGACCGGTCCCAACCCCGATCCCTGAGGGACCCCACTCGTTACTGGTCTCCAGCTGGACTTGGAGCCATTGACCACAACCATTGTGTGCGGCCATCATACAATCATAGAACCATGGGACTTTAAAGCTCATCCAATTCCAGCCCCCTGCCATGGGCAGGGACACCTTCCACTAGAGCAGCTTGCTCCTTCCCAAAGTTGATGCCTCCAGGAAAGGTTTACCAGGTCTTTTTCTGCTTCTCTTTTTTGCTTCCCCCCTGAAAGTATGGATGTGCCCTAACTCCTTGTGCCAGGCTCACCTCGAAGAATGAACCATCCCTGGCTGAAATCCCACCACCTCCCAACGGAGCTCATCCATCTCCTGAAGGCCTCAGCCAGTTCTTACAGCTCACTGCTCGCCACAAGCTGCTCAGGACATGATGATAAAAGCTCCAGGTTTCCCATGTCCCACAGGATGTATTTCACACCCCCAGCTACCAAGGAAGGAAAACCCAAGTGAGGGTTGATTGATCCTCAACAAGGCACTTAGTGATCAGAGCTTGCTGTGAAGTTGTGGAGCCACCAAGTCAAAACAAAGGACCTTTGGGCAAGAAAGGGGAAACACAGGAATTCTGCAGGAAGGGAACCATTTCTGACAGCAGAACCAGCCAAGGTTAAAGCAGAAAGAGGAGCTCTTTGGGAGAGACACCACGGCCTAAAGGAGGAGGCGGTGGGTTCCTTATCCTCCCACTGGCTCCATGAAGACTTCATAACTCCTTCTCCCAAGCACGCTCCTACCCTGAGGAGGTCAGTGCTAAGCCCCAAAGAAGGGACTCTATGACTTGGTGAGGGCCTGCAAACCTTTCTGCATCCCAAAGGCAAGAGCGATGATGTTTCAAACCCCTCCGATAGCTCTGTGTCTGCTCAGACTCCTAAGCAACCCTCTCTGAAGATGACAGTGGAGTGCACAGGGCTGGAAGTAGGGGACAATTAATTGAGGAGGCCAAGGAGGAATCAGTGCTGGTGCTACAGCCCATGGCAACAGCAACACGGGTCCTAATGGTTGGACACCACAGAGAGAGCAAAGAAGCACTGCTGTTGGTCCACCAAAACCTCATGAGCCCCCTCTCCTAATGTGGGACAGAAACAGAGGAGCATTGAGGACACCAGCAGTGATGTTTCCCTGGACAGCATGGCAACCATCCGCTGTGTGGAGATGGTCACGGGTGCAAGATCTGCCTGGATGATGCTCTGCTGCTTTCTCATCATCTCGAAGAGAAAACAAGAGGTTCTGGAGAGATTTAAAGCACAGTTTCTCTTCCATTCAAGCACTGATCACGTTCTGTTCCAAGCATGCGCCCTCTCCCAGAGGTTTGTGAGCTATTAAGGATTTCCAACCCACCTTCCTTAGTTTTCCATGGTACGCTGCACTCCTGAACATCACACTGGAGGATTAACTCCCAGCACTGAGACAGAACCACTCTTTCACTCAGGCTTTTCTTCAAGATCAGATTCATCTTTGCCTCTGCTTTTCACAAAGGTTTTAATATCCAGGACTGATGAGACAATTTATTTAGGTGTTATATGGATCCTTCCTCTGGGGTTCCTGCACATCAGAGCTACCAAAAAATCACAGCAATTTGGGCCTGAGATGGCCGGCGCTTGCATTAAATCATGGATCCTTGGAGAATCCATCATTTAAAGCTACACAGAAGGTGAAGCAAGGAGGCTTTTAGGAACATTAACATCTCCTGGTCCTTAGCAAAAGTAACGATTCACAGAGGTTCCAATCCAGCCATGACTATCTAATATCATAAATATCAGATTAACTGTGGGCAGTTCTGGTGTCCTCAGCATAAGAAGGACATGGAGCAAGTCCAGAGGAGGCCACGAGGATGCTCAGGGGTTGGAGCAGCCCCTGTATGGAGCCAGGCTGAGAACATTGGGGCTGTTGAGCCTGAAGAAGAGAAGCTGTGTGGAGACCTCAGAGCAGCTTCCAGTGTGTGAAGGGGGCTACAAGGATGCTGGGGAGGGACTCTTCATTAGGGACTGGAGTGATAGGACAAGGGGTGATGGGTTCAAACTGAAACAGGGGAAGTTCAGGTTGGAGATAAGGCAGAAGCTCTTCCCTGTGAGGGTGTTGAGGCGCTGGCCCAGGGTGCCCAGAGAAGCTGTGGCTGCCCCATCCCTGGCAGTGTTCAAGGCCAGGTTGAACACAGGGGCTTGGAGCAAGCTGCTCCAGTGGAAGGGGTCCCTGCCTGGGGCAGGGGGCTGGAGCTGGAGGAGCTTTAAGGTCCCTTCAACCCAAACCAGGCTGGGATTCTATTTGTGATGGATAGAGCCATGAGCCTCCTACAAGGTTTGCAATAAGCTTAATTCCCCAGGCAGCCCCATTACTGTGTTCTTGAGTGCCTCAAACTGGTGGGACCATTTGTTCTTAGAAAGCTTTTCAGGCTCTATGGGATATGCACCCCCTCACACCTCAAGATACCCCCCTTAGGGGACCTACTGATGTCTCTAAACAGCCAATGGGCACCTATAGAGGACAGCTCAAAGCACTTATGTGGGGAAAGATGATGCCTACGCTCTCCCCCTGCAGAACAACGTTTCCTCCAGGGAGGACCCAGAAGCAGGAATGGGGGGTTAGAGCCTCCATCCTGCCCCACACCATCCCCATGGCCACCCCTAATTTCCTCGGGCTGATTTTAGCAACATCTATTCAGCTCTGTGAGGACAGTGGAGTGATGGACGAGAAGCATTTGTCTTCCCTGCATTATTAATAAACGCAGTTGAAGCATGAGCCAGCCTCCATGTGAGATGTGTGTGTCCTACTTTCAGGGAAAGAAAAAGGCTTATTTTTAATGAAGGAAGTTAAACCAGCTCAGGAAGACGGAATGCTTGGGAGGGAACATGCTCCAGGCTTAATGAACTTTTAAACTGGAATGCCTCGTGTTTCTGCAGCACTGATTTGAGGCACTCGTTTTTATATGCTCAAAAGGGATTGTGTTTCAATAACACTGGCCTAAATAAGCAGGCTCATTGCAAGCAGCTTTATGCAATGCTGGTGTTTTGCAGTGATCTTGGAGCTTCCCTTGTGTCTCTCCCTCTCAAAAATGTGGAGAAACACAAGAGGAGGACCACATGAGGGAGAAACGGGTTCCAATGTGGATGGGAAGAAGTTCATTCCCTTGCTTGACACAGGGCTCCTTTGGCTGAGCTGTTATCTACGCCTTGGGAATGGTCACTTTGAAATATCCTGGTGAAGAATTTACCATCCCTTTGGTGCTCAAACCTTAGCAGATATTCACCAGGTACCTGACACTGGATGATCTTCAGGTCCTTTCCAACCCAAACCATTCTGTGATTCTATGATTGTACGACACTGAGAACGGGAGGATTCAAGACTGGGTCCAGTTACCATCCTC